AAGAATTGGTACGAGACGCCAGATATGCAGAGCGAGGGATGGGATCAATCTGTTCCGTCTGAGTGCCCACGTCCACCGTCACAGCCCTCTTGAATATAGAATCCGACTTCTCGCAGGATTTCTCCATCGAGCTCTATACAATGATATCAGAAAAGCATGTGGAAGCTTGGCGTGATAGCGTACGACAATGCCAAGCGCGCCCCATTGGTTTTGTCGACCGATTCCACGACGCTGCATTTCGCTCCCAAAGCTCCTGCGGCAGGTTGAGAAAGTGATGCAAACAGAAGCTTCAGCTTTAAATGCTTACACCATGGCACATCGGATGAAATGAGAGCCAGCCTGATAACAATTGTTAGTAGGCGCGCACGACAATCACGGGCAGTGGTTTACTAAGTACAAGGCCCACCCCTCTTCCAAGCTTCGAGTTGACGTCAGAAGGATATTTCAATTCAATTGCACAGGAGATATCACGCACATCCAGTCATTGTCTGAGGCGACCTTAATGGCGACGTCATATAGCTTCAATGCGTCAGCTCCTTCAGTGAGCGACGCAAATTCAGCATCCACGAGAGCAATCCAATGCATTGTGTTCTTTGGTGATGCTTGAGCCCACCTGCCGAGAGATGAATGTCGAGGCAGGTTGACAGCAACATCTCAACGTACTTTCTGACGTACTCCTGATTGCTTCGGATTTGCTCCAAGTACTTCGCTCGGTCGGCAGGATCAATATGACGATCGCGGAGGCATTGTATCATCGCCAGAGAGTGAAACGTTAACCCGAAGCGAACATGGCGATAGCTGAAGTGATAAGCCTCGATTCATTGTTTCGAGCTCATATGATCGACGTACTTGGGGTGCCACTTGCGAGACTCGTATATCTGGAATCCGAGCTCCGCAGCCCGCGACCAGTATCCAAGGCTGTATAACGCAACGACCTTGAAAGCATTGTACCTGACGACAGTATGAGGGTGATGCCCTTGCGTGAGAAAGCCACTCACCAGTTCAGGACAAACGGAACATTGGCGGATTGCATGACGACGTTCTCAAGATATTCCGATTCGATGAACTCTTCACAGTCGAGGGCGTCCTCAAGCTTCGTGTTGACAGTATACCCTCCAAAGGCCCGAGCACACATCAAGATAGCTAGAACTAACGTAAGTCGCCAGTAAGGAACCGAATGAAGGAATTTACCCATGACGAGAATTTCCGTGTTGTTTCCTGAAATCCATGTGGTGACGTCTTGATAGGCATCCTCGCAAGACGTAACTAGTTCGCTCACTAAAACGGAAGATCAATCACACGTCGAACGAAGAGCATGAGTAGAGCGCACAGTGACGGCATGTGAACAACTGAGTCTGTACGTTGAAGAGAGTCGCTAGGCTTGCGTAAATCCTGGCGCGTGTCAGCATATGACGTCTAGTACGATTTAGGACTTACCGGTCACCGGCTGCTCGGGACAGTCGTAGTGCAGACTCTGTTCTAGCGAGGTTGGCTCGAATGTGCTCAGTTTCCCATCCCGAGGCCAATGTAATATACATGACCTCATATTTGCTGCGTGCTTGTGTCAACCATCTCTTGTCAACAATATGGGAAAATCACGTACGCTCTGTCACCGATCACAGAGTGCTTGGCCGCAAGTTGCATCGCTAGTTTGCCCATCTGCTGCCCGAATCTGAAGTGTGCCTTGCGTTCCGCTGCGACACCCAGAGCCCACACTAAATCCTACCAGGACTACC